TGATATTTTGGCAGTCTGATACAGAAAGTGCTTTCCTTGGCTCATAGCTGAGAGGTGTGTTACAGTAAGAGGTGTGTAACAAGTTCAGGAAAGAACTAATGGGGAAAAACATATATATATTTTTTTTATCCAACCTGCTTTGCTTTGGAAGAAGCACAGCCTATGGCTGCTGGATCTCTCATTCTTCATTCGCGTTGCTGGGTTCCGACCAGCGCACAGCTCCCCGGGCTGCGATGCCGGACGGCTTCACGCTGCGGGGCGCTTCCCGGAGCCCGGCGGCGGCGATGAACCCCGCCGTCCCTACGCGTCCCCCATCGCGGAGGCGGCGCCGTGGCCGCGTTCCGGTCCTCCCCCCCCCTCCCGGCTCCTCCCCGCAGGGCAGGGCAGCCCCGGGCCGCTTCCTTAAGGCGCGGTGCTGCGTCCCGTGCCCGTACGGAGCTGGGCGGCAGCCGTGAGTGTCGCCGTGCTGTGCCGCGGGTACCAGGTAGGGCTGCGGGGCGCAGAGGGCGGTCCGGCTTTGGGCTCCGTCCTTCTGGAAGCTTCACCGGCGGCGGTGCGAGGACCCGGCTCGCTCGGGGCTTACCTCGGGTGGGTTCGGAAGGAACTGCGGGGCGGCGCGGGGATGGGCGTTATTGTGTGCGTCCGGCTGCTTTGGTTGCCGCGAGTTGACGCGTCGCTTTGTGAAAGTAAACGCAACTTGTCCTGTTTCGGAGGAGAGAGTTTTGAGACCGTGGAACATCTGGGGGTGGGAGGGAAGGGAGGGGTTTCCACAAGCTTACGTTTAAAAATCAAACGAAACCCCCGAACCCCTGCGGCTGGCTTAAAACGCCGCTCCTCCCCGCGAACAAAACTAATCAACAAACACAACCGAGAAGAAGGTCTCGGTGTGAAAGAGCTCGAGGAGCCGCAGCCGGGCACAGCAGCCCCGCAACCCCGGGGCCGCCCGGCCCTTCCTGGCAGCCACGTGCCGCCGGTGCTGCCGGTTCGTAGCGCTGGGAGGAGCTCCGCGATGAAACGTTTGGATGCGGACGGTGCGTTTTTTAAACGGGAGTTCTGCTACCAAATGTAGAAAGTGAGAGTGGAGGCCACGAGCCTTCCGGGGAGCGCGTTCCAAGGCCAGTGATTCATGGGTTCAAACGTGGGTCTGAAGGACGGTTACACGTTGGTAAGGCTCCAGGCAGCAGTGAAAGGACGTTTCTGTGGGGCCACTGGATGGGAGGCTCGTTTGAGCTGATAGAGGCCGGCAGTTTGCTGTTGTCCAAAAAGCGGATTCGTCCCCGTGTGCGTTGAGTCGATCATCATCGCACACTTGGGGCAAGTGTTGCTTATTTATGGCAGGGTTGCACAAGCCTGGTGCACAGTGCTTTCTCACAGATGGCTCACACACACAGAGCCAGCCTTCTGCTCAGCACTTACACAGAATTACAGTTAGCAGTGTTCCACTCCGGTTGGTCTGTAGTTTTCATGCAATTACAACAGTGCTGATGCTGCTTCCATTGCTATGCCTGATCACGGGAGGGGTCTTCACCCAGGCAGGGCTCTTCTTGACCTGTGGGTGTGAATCTTAGTGTTACATTGAAAGTAGTTCAGCCAAGGATGCACAAACCTGGGGTTTTCTTCTCAAGTTGTGTCACCAGCTGTCCTCATTAATGTTCACTCCAAGGCCTTCTGGCTCTGGGGAGTCCCTGGTTAAGTATTTATTCTACTGATACCTAATACAATGGTAGCTCAGTTTGTTTAGAATTAGCCTTCAGCACTGTTAGATTTAGATTAGACCCTTCTCTAGGGATTTTTACTATATCATGACTACTTCTTTTATTTACTTAAATAGGATTCTGGGTGGGATCAGACAAGTGGCAGGGTTTGGTACAGATCTCCACACTCCAGCAAATCAACAGTTGTAAGGTTCTTGTCTGAGCTAACAGCGTGGGGCTGGTGGCACTGCCTGCATCCCAACAACAACAGCCATTTGGAAATTTCCTCAGTGGCTTCCTCCACCAGCTCTTGTTCCTTTCCCTGTGGAATCATACAATGGTTTGGGTTGAAAGGGACCTTACAGATAATCTTGTTCCAACTCCCTTGCTGTGGTTAAGGACACCTCCCACTAGAGCAGGTTGCTCAAACAACGGAGGGAAACCCAGAGTGGATTTTTGGTTTCAGCTGTGAATTGGTTGTGGGGCAGCTGGAGGAATGGCAGCTTGCCATGTCTGACAGCACTTAAGCAGACACGGGTATTTGCATCTTGGTGAATGTAGTGAGGGCAGTAGAACAGAACTTAAGAGAAACATAGGTTGTTACGCTCATCTGAGCTGATTTTTTTGAGTTAGTGGAGGAAAAAGCCTCCTAATGCCAATAATTGGCCATTCCTGGAGAGGAATCTCTCAGACCACGCTGTAAAAACAATTAAACTGAAGGGTGGCATTCCCCATTGCATTGGGCAGCAGAACATTTTAGCATCCATTCATTTTCAGGGAGCAGATGAGCTTGCTCCTTTGCAGGGTCAGGCTTGCACAGTCTGGAATACAATTCCTTGAAAACGTGTGGGGTATGAAACTGAGCTGCTGCTGAAAGAGCTCATGGCCGGACCTCCCTGATCCCTGAGGAGCTTCGTGGAGGTAGAGAGGCTGCTGAGAAGTGGGTGTAGGGTGCCAGCCTGATTTGGGCAGCAATGAATGCGATTGCTGCAAATAAGCTGCTTGACAGGGTTATGGAGATGCACGCTGGGTGCCAGAGTGGTTTTCATTTACTCTGAAGTGCCTTTGGAAACGGTGTTGTCAGTTTTTCTATTTAAAATCCTTTTCTTTTTTTTTTAATGTTGGCAACTTCCAGCATTCCTGGCAAGTGAGCAGAAATAGCCCTCCTGTGCTCCTTGTTCCTTTTCTTTGAATTTTGGTAGGATTTGGGGTACTTTTTTGTTCTTTTTAGTGCAGTTGTCAACATTCAGCTCGCACAACAATAAGCACAGGGTTTGGAACTTCCTGTGACACAGGATATCATGTCACCATTTTCTTCTTGAAAAAAATTATCATCATGCAGGCACTCCAGGGGTGTTTCTAGGGAATATCTGAAATATTTGGAGTCGAGGGCCAATAATAATACCTGATTCTTTTTGGAATATTTTCCTTTCGAGGCCTGAGCAGGAAGTCTTTAGCTAGTTCTAGATTTTCATGCTGACCCTCCCACTTCTCCTGGCTTATCTCTAATGAAACGCGGCCCTTTCTCTTACCTCAGCACCAGTGCTCTTTTTATCTAATCTGCAAGACACACAGCTTATGGAGATGTATATTTAACCCAGACTATCACAGAAAAAGAGAAATGCATAACCACTGTAGTGTTAGTCCCTAAACTATTCTGGGTACTTGGTTTAATTCTGAGGTGAGATGTACCTAGCGTGCTTCCCCTTTCAGTTTCAATCTGCCTTAACAACCCAAATTCAGACAACATGAGAGGCAGGAAATCTGGGTTTGAGATGTGGTCTGCAGGGCCAGAGAGGGAAATTTCTCTCTATATTTGCTTATAATTCAGAGATAGAAATACTGCAGCCTTTTGTCACTAAAATAAACAAAAAAGCATTACCAACAGTCAGCCAAGAAAAAAACAACTTCCTTTACTCATGTTTTGCATTTCAGTTCTGCTAGATATAAACTTGTGGCAGTGTTGAGAGCCACATAAAAGATACATTAACACCTTTATAATTCATTCACAAGCTGGCCCTAAAGCTGGCTTATTTCACTAAGCATTTGGGCATTTGTAGAAGAGAGTCCTTTACCTGCTGCCTGGGCGTCTTCTGAGATGGAAGGAGATTCCAGGGGCTGGATGGTGGCATCTGGCAAGAGTTTGTGAAAGGGAAAGGTCTGCCTTTCCTCTCCTTCTCAAAATGGTCTGTAGGAGCAGGGAGGGATTTTTGGTGCCAGGTAGTCCAGAACTGCATTAGCTGCAGCTGCTGCACTGCAGAACTGAAGCTGGGAATTATCTCCTCCTCTTCTCCGCCCCACTCCTCCTCCCGGCCTCATATTCAGGCCGCCGCTGAGGTTAGCGGCACAAGGCTGGTGGCGCCCAGCAGCCTGGGACTGCAGCGTGTTCCTTGGAGAACTGAGCTTCCATGGCGGCCAGGACGAGAGAGAAGCAAGGACTGCTTCTATGGAGAGCTCATTTTTATCTTGTGCAGAGTCATCTTTGTAGCGGGATGTTGAAATGTGATACAGTGCATGTTTGTTTGCAATAGCTGCAACCCTCGTAGCAGAAATTCAAGTGGGAAACAGAGGGGGAATCCAGAGGCAAACCAGCGGGAGAATTAGAAACCGTGACGTCGCGTCCTCCCTCCTGTGCCGGAGCAAGCAAAGAAAGGAGAGGTAGAGGAAAAAAGACTGAGCCTTGCATCCAGCCGTCACCCTGACAATGTGTCAGTCAAACGCCCTGCAGGGACCAGATCTGCACACAGGGAAATGGTGAGATGCTGTAAAGCTTTATCTAACCCTCCACCCTCTTGCTACAACCTCCACAAAGTTAAAATTCATGTCCGGAGGCTGCGTTCAGGGAACGGCGGCAGCAGCAGCTGTGCCGGGGACCCGCACCCACAACTGGACAGCCCGGGCCCGGCTGGCTCTGCTGGCGGGACACCAAATAGGAGAGCTCGTTTCAGGTACTGTGTGGTGTTTTCTGCTTTGCAAGAATGGTGTCTGAAGGGAGAAACGAGGGAGGGAGGGCGGGAGGGTTTCTGGGCTGGAGGAGCGACAGCCATCTGCAAAGCTTTTGTTTGGCCTAATTACTATAAAGCTCCTTATGCGGTGAATTGTCAGAGAAGGGCATGCTGTTATATGACAAGGGGAATGAAGAGGGTTTCTTTCCTTTCTCCCATTCTCCATCACGAGGAGAATAGGAAGATTAGCCAGGGACTGCACTGAAACCAGGCCAAGCAGCGGGGAGCCCCAGGGCTCCGGAGTGCGCTGCCAGGATGCAGCTGGGATGGGATTGGTCCGCCAGCAACTGCAGTGGTGGGGGGAGCGTGGCAGGGGAGCGGGACCCTGGGGAGCAGGACCCTGGCATGATGCTGAGAGCCTGGTGCCGATCCTACTGGCCTCGTGCAGACTGCAAGCTGGCAGGTGATGAGTGGGAGGAAGGACATGGAGTGCCCCTTCCTATTCCCATGTTGAGTCAGTCCCACCTCCCACTGAGAAAGCAGCTTTACGCCTGCTGAGACAGCACTTCATCTCCTTAGGTGTTGGCTGCTATCTTGTTTTCCTTGCTTTGTGATGCACAAACAATTCTCTGAGTTTTTACGTGTTTATTTTGTTGGAGGAAAGTTGTATTCACTGCAGAGAGGATCAGTGAGCCAAAAGCACCATCTTGCATCCCAAAGTGGTGACAGATGTCACCTGCCTATGTGATATTTTAATCCTGACCCACATTTTGAAAATAACAGGTTGGCAGGAAAATTGCCTTTCAAGATTCCCAGCTTCTTTCCACCCTGAAAAGAAGTAGTTCATACTTCATATTGTATAGTCTGGTGTAAAGGAGAGCTGTTCAGAGCAGCTGGAGCATACCCTTCCAGTCCATGCACACATAGCTGCATCCTGGTTGCGGGCATTCTGACTGCAGCAGAGTGGGAAGTACACCCCTGGCTGGGGTTTAAGGCAATGCCCAGAAGACTTGAATATTTTGCCCCAAGTAGGCAGACTTCCATTTGGTAACGTGACCTGGGCAGTATCAGAAATGGCTTCGTCAAAATATTCTTCATGAGCAAAGCCAAAGAATAAATGGATACCCAAGGGGTCTTTCATCCTCCTACCACAAGGGCCTGAACTGAGGTATACAGTGCCCTCTGCTAGTTAGAGGAGCAGCTTTTCCCTTGGAGAGTTGCACATTCAAATTCTGCCTACAGCCATGTATGCTGAGGTTGCTTTCAGTCAGAAAATCCACTGTATGGAAAGTCATTAGTGCAGTTGGTTATGAGGCAAAGGAGTGATTAACCTGTAGAGACTGGGTTATCAGTCAATATCAGCTTTGTTCCACGTGTTCTCTGTTCAGCACCAAGGGTACCCAGTTAATATTTAAGACCTGGAAAGATGTCTTCTGTCAGTCAGAGTCAGTTATTTGAGCACTGTATTAACTCGCTCAGCAGTGCCACTCCTGTTGTTTCTCATACACTTGTTCTCCCAAGGCAGTTAACAACCAGCAGGTCTGCATGAGTTTGACTCTGGTCTCATTTAAGACATCATCTAGTCTTAAAGACTCCTTCAACACATGAGCACTATGGGAGGCCTCTGTTTCTTAGATCGCAAGGATTTCTTTAATTAGTTTCTGCTCATTGTTTCCTCATTGCTGCTCCTCCGTACAGTGCTGGGGTTGATGTCCCAGAATCACAGGGTTCTGGCTTTCTACTGTGGCTGTCCTAGAGATGGAAGTCAGGAGCAGCGTTTTCTGGGGGTGTAATCTCCTGATATTTGGAAGAAGGATCTTTGCTCTCTGTTGTTTGCATTGTAAACTATCGTGTTATGTTGTTACTTGGATGAAGAGTATTTTACTGGTCCTCTATTTTGGGAAGAACTTGCTAAAATAAAGGAGTAAGGACTTGCAGAATGGATCTTGAAGTAAAGATGAGTAGGAATAAATCACCCCCAGCTACCAGAAGCTGGTGGTTCTGCTGCTGAGATGGCTGACCCTCTGATGTTGTGTATGTAATCTTTCAGGTTGCAATTTCCCCAGCTGGCCCTGAGGCGAAGGTTGGGCCAGCTAAGCTGTATGTCTAGGCCTGCTCTGAAACTCCGTTCTTGGCCTCTGACTATTCTCTATTACCTTCTGCCTTTCGGTGCTCTTAAGCCCTTGACCAGAGTGGGATGGAGGCCTGTGAGCAGGGTAAGTGTGAGCAGGTCTCTTGTGCTTCATTTCTGTTAGCTGTGTGGTGCTGAAGGGAGCTGGCAGCAGCTGGGTGGAAGGGCCCTTAATATTAGAACAGGCTGAGCATCACTAGCATGGAAGCAGAGAGATTAAACCCATCCCTTTAGTTTTACTGTTTAGAACTGCCGTGACTTAATTGCTTCACAGATAAGTCATTATTCAGTAGCAGTGAATTTATCTGTCCTCTAATGGTTTGTCCACAAAAATCAACAGAAACTTCTGAATTACTTCAGTTGCCTCAAAGTATGAGGGTGAGGATAAGGCAGAGCACATTGCTCTTCCAGTTCCCTTTCCTGGCCATGCTGAAATGGCCTCCTGCTTTTTTGTATAGAGAGGGTTTGTTTTTCAATTTATTTATTTTTTTTTGGAATATTTCTAGTTCAGCCTTTCCAAATAATACACTAATGCAGATCTCTGCTCTGACACCGATGAGAGTAGTCTGCAGGCAGCCCTGCATGGAGGTATTCTCTACATCTGTAATGCAGTTGCAGAATGCAACCACATTAATGTTTCGATTGAAAACTGTAACAGAATGCAGTGCTTAGATTTCCTTTGAATAGCTGCTTGGCTTCATCACATCAACCTGAAAACCAGATGTTTTGGAAAAGAAGGCTATAGGAAATATAGGAAATAGACAATTTCTGTGACTTTACAGTTGCACCTGTATATTCTCAGTGCTGGTGGGAAACTGAGCAAAATTGATTTTAGAAATGAACACTGTATAAGGCATGTCAGAATGGCAAAGCGTTTTTTTCTTCGTTACTTCAGCTAGAGCACTGTTGATTTGGAGGATTTTATTTGGAGCAATTTGGTTGTTTATTGCTGAAATGTCACTATTTTCATGTGCAGAATGGTGATTTCTGAGTCAAGTCCTATTTCACTGTGTTTGATAGGATGGACAGGCTCTCAGCCAGCGCGCGCTCGTTTGTGTTTCTTGCCACACTGTGCAAGTATTCAGCTGGTAGTGAATATGATTAAGAATAAACGATGAGTCTTGCTAAGGAATAACACAAACCAAACAAAAAACACTTTAAAAATAACTAAAAAAATCTTGGGAGTGAAATACAGCTGAGTTACGCTGTTTGAAACACTGCTCCAGATTCAGCAGAGAACTACTTTTACAAAACTGGTCTCAGAGGACTCATTTTCTGTGCTACCTCCTACATGGTCACACACACGTTTTCTGGCTGACTGTGGGTTACACAGACCTCAGAAGCTGGAGTTACCAACAGGGTACGCTGTCATCTGTCCTGCTACATCAGTAGTATACTTCTTACCAATGTTGTTTCATTTGGTTTTTCTTGCTATTAAAATGCATGCTTTGGTGTAAGCCCAAAGGTAGACATATTTCTACAGAAATTCAGGCATTTTAGCAGTTATCAACTTCTTTGTTGTGGGAGAAGGAGTAAGGCTGGCATCAGCTTATACCAGTTTAAGTGCATTGACGTGGGTATATTTTTTCATCTGTATGCATTATCAGAGATACTGGAACATAGAAAATACTGTCATTAGGAGGTGCATTATTTTTCTGTTGGTTTTCATTTGGTTGTCACAAAGAGTACTAAATTGTTAATGTTGAGCCCCTCTGAGAAGTATTCCACTGCCATGTGTGAAATACCTTTTCCTGTAAGCCTCACATGGGGCAGTTTCCAGTAACATGAATCTGAAGCTTTAACCTGAAAGGCAGTAGAGTTTCTGGCTTCAGTATATAGTATGTAATATATTATATAGCAAGCATGTAGTAAGTTTCATCCTATCCCCTGTTTGCTGTCATCAGAATAGAAGTGAGGAGTGCAGCGTTTAATTTTTCTCTGCTTAACGGCTAATCCATTTGTGCCAAGGGAGTTGCTGGCACGAACAGCTTGATTCTCTTTTCTTTATGGGAAGGACCGAATGACGTGATGTAATTAATTCTTCCTTCAGGTTGCTCTGTACAAGTCAGTACCAACTCGACTGCTCTCACGAGCCTGGGGTCGTCTGAACCAGGTGGAGCTGCCCACATGGCTCCGGAAGCCTGTTTATAGCCTGTACATCTGGACGTTCGGTGTGAACATGAAGGAGGCAGCTGTTGAAGATCTGCATCACTATAGAAACCTCAGTGAATTCTTTCGCAGGAAGCTGAAACCACAGGCACGGCCAGTTTGCTGTGTGCACAGTGTGGTGAGTGAAGGGAAATGCAAATGTCCCCCCGCCAAGCAACTTGTCTGCTTGCTGTGGTGGATGGAAGGGTGAGAAAAGCATGAATTCCCACTGCATTTCCTTTTTTTTTTTTTTTATATCTGTGCTGTAGATTAGTCCTTCTGATGGAAAGATCCTTAACTTTGGACAAGTAAAGAACTGTGAAGTGGAGCAAGTCAAAGGGGTTACTTATTCTCTGGAGTCCTTCCTGGGACCTCGCATCAGCACAGAAGACTTGCGTTTCAATGAAGGTAAGCTCTGACCCTCACACCTCTTGTGCTCTGCCCATTCTAAGTGTCCATAGACATCACATTTCCAGGAAAAAAAGCAGTTCTGTGATACTAGTTATATTTTTGGGGATAAACATGTCACTGTTGTAGTTCTTTCACATCAGTAGCTTGCACTATCTAACTCATTCTAATTCTCCCAGTTTCTTTGGTTGGTTCCATTTCCTGTGGTTATATTAATAATTATAATGACTCCAAGGCCTGCCATGATAACAGTGCTGTAGCATTCCTGCTGACAGACCATGTGCCTGAGCACAGGGTTAGCAAAGATTGGCTGCTCCCTAATGCATCTTGTGCACAAGCACTGTACCTCTACTGATATGTGCTGTCACCACTTCTGCACCTTGAGCACCATCTTCACGGCCTTCAGTTTTGATAAGAGGAACATATTTTGCTGAACTGGAGAGGGGAATGGAGAGAGAAGTTCTGCTAACAGCAGGCTTATTTTCAACATGATCTCCAACAGAGAATTTCATAAACCTAAGACCTCTTCACAAATTCTGTTACTTCAAATGGTAGCTTTAGGAAAACAGGATTTCAGTTTTGGAGTTCAGATTCCCTAAGCAGAGAAGCAGAAACTTCCAAACTGTTTAAAACAGTACAGGATCTAATCTCATTTTGTAAAGGGAAAAGAATACATTGACATATTTGATTCTTGGGCCTATTTCTAGTCTATCAACACGTGCAGATTGCATTCAGTCCATTGTTTCTAATACAGATTGCTCAACTATGGTAAAGATGGCATGAAGAGTACCTTTAACTCCTTTCTTTCTATGCAGTCCCACCTGGCAACTCATTTCAGCAACAACTAGTCACAAAGGAAGGGAATGAGCTCTACCACTGTGTAATCTACCTTGCACCAGGGGATTATCACTGCTTCCACTCGCCCACTGACTGGAGAGTGTCACACCGCCGTCATTTTCCAGGTAGGTTTCTTCTAGAAAATGAATGCAGAGGGGCTGTGGATGGGAGCACTGCTACAGGCCCCTGCTGGATGAGATGTGCCAGTGGAGCAGTTGTACATGTTAGATGATGGGAGCATGGTGCTTTGTCACACATGGTTATGAGTTCTAAGGTAGTATAGTTTACCAGAATTAATCACATGTGAATTGTAAAAGCAGTAATACTGCATTCAGGCTTTCCTAATTCTTGGAAATAATTGTTGACCCAGGTTGATCTTATTCTCCCAGGGGGGGAAAAAAAAAAGTAGAAAAAAAAAAAAGATCAGTTTGCATATGAAGTATAGTTCTGCAAGTCAGAGCAAACAGCAGCTTAAAATATGATCTCTGTTCCTGTATTTGGCAAAAAAAAGATACAGCCAAGCAGTAATTCTACCAGAGTTGGTTTCAGGTGGCTTTGTCCTCCTCTTTGCAGACCATCGTGCTGTAGCTTAGCAAAAAAAAGAGTTTGTTTCTTGGTCTTCAATCCCTAACGTCTTGGTTTTGATTTCAAACACTCTTAGGGAAGATAAAGACCTGCCACAAAGTTTGAGAAATCTGTCAAATGCCAGATTTAATCTATGTTATGAAGTCAAACTCCAAAACAAAGGAGTTTAATGAAATGTAACTATCAGATTCAGCGTAGTGAAGTAATGCACTTACATCCAGACAGTTCTGCAGTACTGTTACGAGACTGATAGTTGAGCTTGAGTATTTTCTCACCATTGCAGGCTCTTTGATGTCTGTGAATCCTGGAGTTGCTCGCTGGATCAAGGAATTGTTCTGCCACAATGAACGGGTTGTCCTTACAGGAGACTGGAAACATGGATTTTTCTCTTTAACAGCTGTAGGAGCAACAAATGTGGGCTCTATCCGCATCTACTTTGACCAGGTGAGTAAGATTACTGACAGGCAGCTTTCTGGTTTTGATTGTTGAGGTTTGTAAAGCATAATGGAAGAACAATAAAAAATCAAAATCCTATTAGCCTGAAATTAAGATGTTTCACCCTGTTGATATTCTGCACTGTAGACTTTTTAATATTCCTGTTGCTTTTTTGAATTCTAAGGTCCTGCATTGAAAATGCCTTGATACCCAAAAGCTGTGGCTATACAGATAGAGTATTGAGACTCTCAACAGTTTCTTCCTTCTCTTTACAGGATTTGCACACCAACAGCCCACGTTACTCAAAAGGTTCCTACAACGACTTCAGCTTCATATCCAACAACAACAAGGAGGGAATCCCCATGAGGAAGGGAGAACATCTAGGGGAATTTAACTTGGGCTCGACTATTGTACTCATCTTTGAGGCACCAAAGGACTTCAAATTCCACCTTAAAGCTGGACAGAAAATCCGTTTTGGAGAAGCACTGGGCTCTCTCTAGAGACTGACACAGCAAGAAGGCTTTAGATACAGAGGAACTCTTAATACATCGCGGAGTGTTTCACTTGACAAGCATGTATCACTCAGCAGGACCTGGGTGAGGAAAAGAGATGTCTTTGCTGTGTTCACCTTTAGAATATTTGGCCTATATTTGCATATTGCTGCTGAAACGCAGAACGAACATGTATGTATCAGGTACAGTTGCCTTTAAAGATACTGACCATGGAGGTTTCTGTCCTACCCTGTGCCTGTAGTCTTTTGTGTTCTCCCCCTCAGTGTGCCACAGGATAACTATGCTCATAAGCTTATAAATCCCTTTTAAGCCTTCCTCGACTGCAGGTCCAGGTAAGGGTGGAAGCAGAGATTAGCTGTATTTAAAGGGACGTTGACAAGTTGAGTCAGACCTTGTACCTTAGATATGGAGTATCTTTTTCAGACCTTGAATAACAGATGTGTTCTCATCTTTATTCTAAAACACTCCTCTGAAGTTCTTACATAAAATGCACGGAGAGCCAGAAAGTTCAATGGACAAGTATGGCTTCACACTCCAAACTAAGCAAAATGCACAGAGAGTATCTGTACAGTAAGTTACATGCCCAATCTGTTTCCAACGTTAGACAACTTTTAATTCTTTTACCTATGTCCCTTTAGAAATGGACTTTGCACTGTATTTTAAAGCTAAAAACACTGTGTCTACATTCCATATGATGAAACTGGTCATCTTGGGATTTTATTTTTTTAAATATTAAGAGACAGATCCATATGTCCATTTTCTACTCTATGGTTTTATTTTGCTATTCCAGGCCTTAAGGACTTTGTATAAGAGAAAGTTCACTTCTGGAATTAAGGGTTGGAAGACAGATGTTTCTCCTGTGATTCTGTGTATCTTCGTTGTTGCTTTGTCATCAAATTCTTGAAGAATTAGTTCCTCTATTTACAGAGCAGCTTCAGATACTTCAGGACCAAATTTTATTGCATGGAATGAAATGCCCTATGTGCTGACAGTGTGTTAAAATATGGCAGATTGTTGAAGCAATCTTTGGCCTCCCAGCTGCCAACCTGGCTGTCCTACAGTGGACTGGCAACTATTTTGTCTTAGCTGAAACAGAAAAAGCCACGCCTGCTCTGATTTCTGCCCTCGTACTGAATGATGAGAATGGGCTGGGTCTTGAATGCTTTATGCTGAAGCTTCATCTTACAGTGAAAATTAAGAGCCTTGTTGTAACTTCACATCAAGAAGAGTCAATAATGCCCTGGATCTGTTGAGTATGGCACCAAAAGCCCTGACAGAAACTGTGCCAAACTGGAGAAATTCCATTTTAAAGCAATATATTGATTGGTTTTAGAGTTTGAGTTCTTCTAAGTCCAGACACTCCAACATTTAGAACTGTCTTTGCTGCCCAGAACTTGCTGGAGTGGACATGCTTACAGAACTTGCCTTTTTGATCTCCAAAAATTTCTCATATTACTTTCTTGCTTGAGCCTTGGGTGTTTTTTTCTGCTACTTCAAGGAGCTTAGTAGGCTTTGACCAGCTGTGTTTTCCTTAAGAAATACTTACCTTTTTTGTATGCACTGCAGAAAATAGAATATAATTTTATTGTACACGTCCAGTTTGCCAAGTCCTGTATGCTTAGCTTGTCATCAGGAAAGAAGGGATGGTAAACTGGGTGTAGTGATGTAGTCCAGCTGTGACTCAAAGATGATGGTGGCTGTTCAGGTGACAAGCAGGAGAAAATTCATTTGGCTCTGAGAGTCAGTGTTTCCTCACTTTACACGGGGAGGAGTTTGAAAGCTTGAAGTGGCTCTCGGCCACCTATGGCGTTAAGCTTCTTGGCATTAGCAAGTTTACTCCTGCAGCAGTATATTACCACAGACAGGTTCTAGAAATGTGTACTTTTTTAAACCACTACGAAATACTAAAGCAAACATCAGCCCCAGCAGCTACAGCTGTGATTAGCCTCAACTTCAAAGACAGATTAATAGACAACACCTTCGTTCCTATGGATGAGAGAAAAATGACTGAATCTCTTCCCCTTTTCCACTGGGGTTGGTGGCATCCAGCCATAGCCAAAGCAATGTCAAGCTTTAATTTATTGCTACTCAGCAGCATCATCAGCTGCAGTAGCTGAAGGTTAATGACATGCAGTAGGAGGTAGATTACCTGATGTTTGCTTTAATAGAAGTCTTAAGAGGAGGGAGATGATTCAGTGTGTGAGTGGCTGGTTTTGTGAAGGTCTCAGTGCTGTACAGAGCTAGCTAATTAATAAATGTTACTTGCTATGCAGGGGTCAGCAATCACCCTGGAAGGGGAAGCAAAGTTCCTAGAGGGTACTGATAATGCTGTGAATTTCTCCTGCATGGAGAATCCATTGAATTCTTCAACTGTATCAGTAGCACGGTATTTTTGTATGTCAAAGTGTATGACTTACTGACATGAACTCATTTAATTGCAAACATTTTGAAATAAAGAGTCTTATCCGTGTTGCTTATTTCTGTGAAATGTCAGATTAACCTAAGCTCCATCCTATGAGTGCAGTGTGAAGTTTGTTTAAAACCAACTATGGTAACAAAATAAAACAAGCAAGAATATTTAAGTTAGTTTATAAAATAGAAGTACCACACCTGGACTAAGAGAGTGCATACATCTCTTTCCATCCTCTATGCTTTCCTGCTATGAAAGGGGTGAAAACTGCAGCCACTCCTTCTGGAAGTTGGGTTCATATGAATTTACGTATCCAGAGCAACCTGAATATCATGCAGGCGAGCAACCAGGTTCTGCACATGCTGTCTCTCTCGGTGTTGTGCTTTGGTGAGAGCACTGATCCTCACCTCCAACTGAAAGTAAAGAAGGTGGCATGAGTTGTTTGTACAAGTGTTTAGTCTTTTTGACTGAGGAAGACTGAATGAGCTCTACCAACCTTTACATTAGCGGTCAGTGGAGCAAAACTCTGAAAAGTCTACTGGAGCCGCAGCTACACTTCTGAACAAAGATTCATTGACACAGCAGCCTGCTGAGCTCAGCAGCCCACTTCTGCTTACAAATTTCCCTTTTTTTATTTTAGTAACAGCTTACTAATGATTCCCACAACTACCATTAGCCTTCAGGCTAAGTGCATAGCATAGTGATGACAAGTTAGACTTTGCTTTGTTTGTTTGCTGTTTACTCACCTGGTCCAATTCTTCCTGGACTTTTTGTATGCTATCTTGATCCTGTGGTTGTGCTCTCCTTTCTAGCCACTCGTGTAGAATCTCTGCCTGCTGCCGACAAGACCTGATAAAATAGATTAGAAGGATTCTTATCCAAAGTAGGAGCTCAGCGGTCTAATCCAACTTAGATGTGCAACTGGTGCCCTTTTGTTTTGTTTTGTTTTTGTCCCAAACCAGTGAGGGATGAAAGTATAAAAAGGGGAATTTAAGGGGTGCTGGGAAGTAGAAAAGTGTCTGGAAGCTGTCATCTCCACCTCTACTCCTATTCCCAGACTTCTGCATTTCATGACAGACCCCACTCCTCCAACCCCCATTCTTTTTCAAGCACTTCTAATAAATTTTTAACATTCTATTGGAGAAGCTATCTATCAAGTCCACAGTTTTAGTGGAAGTTTTTTTTGTTTTTGTGTGTGTGTGACAACCTGAAAATTCACCCCTTGTGATGAAAGAGCTGAAAGATTCATTTGAGCTACTCTTCGTTTGCATTGCCTTCAGATTATGGCCAGTGACACTTTGGTCAGTGTTTCTCCAGTACTGCCAAAGGTATAAAACTAAACCAGTTGCAGACTGCAAAAGAAATTGTGCTTGTACCCTTTTCTCTCACCTGGAGTGAACTCCTAAAAGGACAGAAACCTTTGTTTAATTCACAGTTCTGTGAAGCAGAATGGTTATTTCCATAAGTAGACATGCTCATACAAGCCAATATTGAGCTGACAGCACGAAGAAAGGCTGGCTGTAGAGGCTTTGCAACCTACTTGAGTTCTTGCTTCCTGCTGAAGTAGTACTGCATTTGCTGTTGGATGCTTTGGAGCTCTGCTTCTAGCTTTCTCTGTAGCACAATTTCTTCTCTGGAACTGTGCTTTCTTTCTTCCAATTCAGCTGAATGGAAGATAAAGGGCACAAGCAAGGAAAGTACACTTATTGTTTCTTCTTATCAGGGAAAGTCAGGTTAATAGACAGGAAACGTGAAACCCTTGAGTCCTTTTCACAATTTGTAACCATGTGGCATCTGTTGACTCAAAAGATCATAGCTAAGAAAGCAGGAGTCCTGACAGCATTACAGGCTCTCACTTTAAACATAACAAAGATGAGAAATACTGTAGAGAATAGTTCTGTACTACAAATGCTGCTGATAATTTTTTGTTTTATATCTACTGTAGAAGTAAGTCTGGTCCCATCAAGATAAATGCAGTATAAAGAGGTGCTCAGGCATCATTTATCCTTTTTTCAGCAGTACTAGGTAAATTTTACCCTCTCCAGCTCAGCTTCATATTCATGCTGGGTATACATGCATACCCCACTGCTAGCACACTGCTAAAATCCTGACCCAGATCAGTTCCAATCCTTCCATCTCCAGAAGGGCTTTAGTTCTATGCTTCAGCAGAATCCACACAGCTTTATTACCAGTCCAAAATAAATGGCTGAATCTTTACCTCCTGACGTTGGCATACAAGAATGCCTTGTCTCCCATGTTTGAGAGTTGAACTACAATCTTTCATAGACTGAAAGAACATGTAACCATTACAGCTTAGAGCTGAGGACCTACCTGCATTTTGGTGACTCTCTTTTCTCAGTAATTCTTCAGGTGACAGCAAATGTGACCTTAAGCTTGGTTGCAATTTCTCCAACTCTTTTCTCTGTTGACAAGCTTGGGAACAGGCTCCTGCCTGACCACGCACAGGCTGACCTCCTTTCTGCAAGGTCAGAAAGACATTATTTTGTTCCTCGGATGATTTTCCTTAGTTTCCTACAAGGAGGAATCACCTGTCCCAAGCTACTAAGCCCTCCTCACATTAAAACACTGCCTACAATCATTGAGCCTGTCTCACAAGCACCACTTGTTCTGTGCTATTTGAAAAAAATAAGTTCTTTCCTTGACAGCCGGGAAGTACTCCATCAAGATTAACACCTCTTATTCTGAGTGCAACTGAGGAGTTTAAAATGCAAGCACATCCTTGCAGGTGAAATGAATTTCAGATGCAAGTCTGGGCTATAGCCAATACTCCTAACCTAAGTTTCTTAAATTCCTGTAATCTTGGCAAACTACTCTGAAATGTTGAAGGAGCTGCCCCCCCCAGTCAATTGCTAGGAGGAGCATCCTACTGGGAAGGACACAAGACCAGTACAAATTCTTGCATTGTAGTTTAAAATACATGGGCTGGCCAGCAAGCACAATGTTGCTTTAGATTGGTGGTTCTCAAACATTCAGACAGTTCACTTGGTCAGTTTCTAAGATGACAGCTAGCAGAAAATAAAAATAGCTCAACACCTGGATAGGGAATCTGAGCAGTCCTAGGAAGAAACAGCAATAAGCTGCTCATGTGCTGACAGTAACCCAGTGAGCACACTGGTTTTTCCCTTCAGCAATACACTCACCATTTCTGCTCCAGCTTTCACTTGGGGCATGAAAGATGAAGGAGACCATAACTCTGGCTTCTGAACAGCACAGTGCACATCACTTGTCCTCGATGGCACAGATGGGAGAGCACTGTGTGTCAGAGGAGAGAAGCAGTGAGTGGTACTGCCCAGTTGAGAGAGCCTCTTACAGGTGTTTTCTTCCATTTCCATTGTTAACATTAAATTCCCATTCTGAGAACATTTGTTCACATCTGTTGGCTGAAAAGGCATTTCTGATCTATAAAGGAAGAAAGAAAGTACCCGTACATTTCAACCTACTGGCTTTATACTTCACAGTCAGTGGAAAAAAAAATAAACAGAATCTTGCTATTCCCTCACATACTGAAATAAGCTCCTGCCATGCAGGGCACTAACTGGCTTCTAAACCACCAGCAGTACCATAATGGCACAGAGCTGCTAGCAACCTACCTCCATCCAGACCTGCACTGACCTTGCTGTAGAAAATAATTCAAAAATCCTTTCAAATGGGACAAAAAAACAATCACATTTTTAAAACTTTCCAGTAGGCTGTTCTGTTCTGCAGAAACAACTCTCAATTTAACAAGAAAAATAAGAAAAACAAAATAAAAACAAACAGAAAACCACAAAAAAGCAGTTAAGGTTTCTACGATGCCTACCCACCCTGTCCAGATCGTTCACATGAACCCTGGCTGAAACAGCTTCAGAGGGGACAATTCAGCCTGAGTTTTGGAAATTGGTGATCTCCCATCTTTCCATTCAAACGCTGTACTAATGAAACAAAGGCCTTGGTTGCTATTTAATTGACTTGAACATTCCATTATTCTTGGCCACTTCACAAGAAATCTGAAATTTTAAGGCAATTTTGATAGTACAGGACAATGCACAGTCCCACAATTACTGAACGCTTTGTATTACAAAGGCATGGGAATTTGAGGGGAGAAGCACAGCGTAACATCATTTTCCTTCACTATTAAAAAGAGATTTTCTACCTGGAAAAAGGAGTTCCCAGCAGTTCCTTTCTTTCTAGAGATTCTATGAGGAAGTCAGGTCTTCGTGGTGGTAACCTTGCTCGTCGGACAACCTCTCTGAAAAGAACAGAAAGCATGTAGAACCATATAGAATCGTTATTATTTCAAATTGGCATAAGCTAAAGAAATAGTTTTATTCTGTCACTTATCCCCTGCCTGCAAAATTGCCCTTGCATGCAATAGTTTTTAAAGATTAGATTTCAACCTGTATCAATGTCACAACCTGGTTCAATGTATATTTTGTCAGATTTCATTCCCATGGTGGGGAAAAAAAAAGCTTCAGTAACAGCTCTAAGTCACTTGGGCAAGATAAGCTCTCACAATGGCATAAATCCCTCCACCACACACTAATCAAGTGTTTCATTATGTAACTGATCCTATGACAAACTATCAATACTCCATAAATTCATAGTTGCATGTTGAGAAAGTCCTGCTAGAAAGCATATGGCTGAGATTATTCCACTCGTCACCAATAGAGAAGTCACAAAATTCTTTCATTACTTAAAGGCCAATATATATGCTATCAGCAGCTCCTGCATAACTCAGCAACACCAGCCATGTGGCAAAGTGTCAGAGAAAGGAAAACTGCATGGAAATAACCATCACCACTGTAAAAACTTGGAAACATACATAGATAGATTTGTTTTTATCTATTTATAGTCAGTATCTATAGCTGAACAAAATGACAGGGTGCTTTACTTTGAACCACAGGCAAAATTGTATGTGAGATTCAAACAAGGGATGAGATGTAGTGCTCCAAGACACAGATATGCACACATACATACATAGACACACAGACACAGAGTGTAGGTAGAACTACATGTAGGCATCAGAGGAATGCAGGAGAGACTAGAATTTTATGCTCACAGCTCACT